CCAGAGTGCTAGGATTACAGGTGTGAGCCACTGCGCCCGGCCTACACATACTTTTGTGTATGTATATTTGCTTCAAAATCATCTTGTCAAAAGGAGGGAAGGAGGAACCGCAGCAACTTGTATAGAGAAGAGGAGCAACACTTGAAGCAGGCAGTCTCCATCTTCCTAGCAGTCTCACCCACAGCAGGAAGGCAAAGTCATCTAATGTCCCCAAGTCGGGCTTCTGAGAACCATAGTTTTTGCAGTTAATCTTCAATCTGACTTATCAGTAACTTCCAATCAACTAGAAGACACAGTAAGTGGGTTTTATTTTTGTACTCTAAATACTTCATTTATTTACTTACTACCTTCTATAGTTATCAAGGAAATAAAACGTAAAAGCACAGTAGTCAATTACATAGCTCTTATCAGAACCTAAAAAATACATCCTAGAAAGAAAGAAGCAATTCTTCTCCTTTTTGTCTTCTCTCTATCCTCTAATTTTTCTACATTGAATGTATAGTATTTGTGGGATTTCAGGTTTATTTTAATTTTTTTTTAAAGCGTACCTTCATGGTGAGGGGTTTTAAACATATTGATTCACTCAATTCACCATGTATTTCTGAGTGCCAACCCACTGTGACAGACTCCAGGGAATCGTGTACATCTGCAGCCTCTCTAAAGGAACAGTTCTTAATGTATTTGTATTTCATATGAGAAAAACGGAAACTAGTAAAGGAAATGACCTGCTGGCATGGGCAGAATTGGCAAAAGGTTTTTCTGTAAACTTCCTGGGACAGACTTTAGCTGAGTGAGGAAGAACTCTCCAGCAGCTAGCACTGTCTGCCTCTGCCCAGGCCGTTCTGGCTGGTGTTGGTCTACCCAGAGCAAGGAGCTCACTAACACAGAGGGGGAGTGCAGGGAGGCAGAGGAGATTCCAAAATCAATCACCAAGTGGAGTTAAAAGGCACTGACCCAACTGAAAATTATATCATGGGGAGGAAACAAAATCTAAAGAAATAGCATTTCTAATGAAGAGGTTCATGGTGTCACAGGAAGGGTAGGAAAAAAATCATACCTCCATTTTCTATTAGAAATTATTTCCTTTGATCATCATTCCATCTCTTGACAGGCTACAGATAAAGTCAGATATATCTGACCTTATCAAATATTTATAATCATAATATAACCTCAAACAAAAATAGGATACAATTTGAAAATGCAAGATATAATGCTCAACTTCGATCCCTAATTGTGATAAATATGAAGTTTGTCCTCTGTTATACCTCAAAGGCCACAGCTGCAGTTCTTTGCAGGTGTTTAATAAATTCCGGGGTTACCAGATATTCTGCCTTGTCAAATGATGACAAAATACCTATAATAGGCTAATTGTGTCATTTGACATGTGTACCTTTACTAGACATCTTGAACCTCCAAGACTGTTTATTGCTCTCTACCTTGCTCATGGAATCTACCTTTTATTCTCTATAATTTTGTAAAGCCAACCATAACCAGCCTTTAGCTCACTCATTATCCTTAATGTTTCCTTTAGGTGGTACTATGTCCATTGAGTTCAACATACGTTCATCATCAAGTAGCTAATACATGCTGGGCACTACGGAGTATGCAAATGAGTAAAACACAATCCCTGCTCATGAGGAGCTCACGATCTGATGCTCTGGTTCTTAACTTCAAGAAAATGCACATGAACACGAAATTTCAGACTCTCCAAAGCTCATTAACTCACAGACTCTCTAGAGCTAACCTGTGAACCCCACATTAAGAACTCAATCCAGTGCAAAAAACCAAAAAGGAGTCCACAGCAAGTTCTTAACCTAGGAATAACTGTGAGTTATAATTATACGATGATAGAATTTCAGAGCAAAGACAGAGATATAAATCATATGGTATCATCATGGATGACAGTGTGCTTAAATCAATCCGTCATCAATCATACGGCATCCCTGGCTTATGACAGGGTAGAGCCAGAGAGATAGCAAAGTGGGTCTTAAAAAACACATATATGCTGACATTGAGAAAGATTTGAAATTAAAATATGCTGTTTGCTAGTCCAATTAGGTGTGGCACTTTATGCTCTAACCCACAGTACAGCTGCTGGGACCTGTTTCTTATCTTAGTTAAAAATGTAAGTAGAGGAAAAACCACTTTGATACGATGAACAGAGACTAAATAAGCAGGAAAAGATTTCAGTTCTTAAGGATTAGTTGGCAGATTCCCTAAACAGAAGTGAAGCCACTCATCGCTTTCCTCGTCCCACACGAGGAGCAGGGGGAGACAGGCACAAGGGGAGGTGAGGGAGGCTTGGGTTTTCTGTTCGCTGTTTTATGTTACCTCTGCATCATATCTGACCGCAGCAGAGAATAATGAGAAGGCATTCTCCACAGTGATTCCTCGCTTGATAATGTGCTGACAAAGTTTTTTCAGTCTGTTTTCACAGTAAGATGTCGCCAAATCCAAAAGACCTAAGAGTAAGAAGTGTGAAAGGCTTAATCGAGTTTACAATAATTTTTCATATTTATAAACATATATGTTTCATCTTGGTGAACAGAGGTATGTAGGTAAATCAGCTGAAGTTCCTTAGTGAATAATATTCTTAATTTGGGTAAATAAATTCTTGTACTTCCTACCTTCTCCCCATCTCCAAAAACATACCACTCCTATACTCACTTGTTATACAATTTCTTCTACAGTACAAAGGAATGGCAAAAAATGAACTTACTTTCTCATTTTGTTTCCAAAATTCCATTAGCAGTTTATAACTCAATATTAAAATAAGTCCACAGTCATAAATAAACTGTGTCCATAATATCAACCATGATAACTATACAATACAATTTTTAAGGACATTTACTTCAAATTTTTTTTTAAAAACCAAGTAAAAGCCAATAAACCTGAAACTTTTTCCATTTCAGTACTCTAAGAACATGAGGAGATACGTTCTCGACCACACGGCCCGGCCAGTCCCACCGCAGCCACGGTACCTATGGCATCCTCTGGTGGCAGGTCCACCGTGTCTGTGTAGAGGTACTGGAGAAAGGCACGATACACGGGGTAAGAGAACTGGTCGATTTCTATCACTTCCTTCATGTCCTCGTTCCAATACGACTGGAACATGGAACGAAAGTGCTCACACCTAAAACAGAAAAGCAAAAGCTACCTAATTACGTTGATGAAATCAGAAAAACAGAGACCAGAGGTATCCTTAGCTTCTAAATCTGGGCCCACACACGCCAGGATCATGAATCTTTAGTTACTACTGTAAAAACATGCCATGTGCAAGGGGATTTATATACACTCATTTCACTTTTTATATCTCCTATCAAATATCACGAATTATACGCAGAGACTAGAAGTACCTAGCACTTCAACAGTACCAGTTTCCATTTGATGGTCACCAAGGTTTTTTGCTCACTTGTTTTGTTTTTTAAAGATATACAGAAATGTATTTTCAACAATGAAACAAAAGAAATTCAGAAATGAGAGTTCAGAACTTTTGACTATCTATTAACATCATTTAAATGACTCATTTGTTTTTATTGTATGTAATAAGTATATTCTTAAAACTGCTTTACATGTTAACTGGATTATATTAAGCTGATTATTGTTCCTTTATCTGACAGGATGATTTTTCTTCTTTTCTGCCTTGTCTTCAAAACAGCTGTCACCCACATTTTGCTTCCCTGCATTGCCTGCTCTCTTGCTCTCTCCCCAAGCCTGTTACCACTATTTAGAGACTCACGTTCCCAAGGACAGTCACATATTTCAAAAAAACCTAAATGGGTCTTCTTGCATTGTATTTACATGTACAAATCCACTTGCAAGAGGAACTGATTTCTGAATTTTGGATTTTCTTAAAGTATAACATTTTTTTTTAAAAAATCATCTTTTCAAATTCTTTTAAAGTGAGATATGGTACAAAGAGAAAAAATATTTTCAAAATCCATTCAGAATACTAAAAGCACAGCTCCACTAACATAAGAAAAGAAATAGTTGTCTAAAGCAAGGAATAATGGATGTAACAGGTCAGAGAACCATGCATGAAAGGAACAGACTGAACGCAGCTGCAGACAGAAACACTTCCAGTGCATCTTTTCAACTAATACTGTGCTTCAGATATTTACCCCCTTAGGTAATAAATGACATAGGGCTTTTCCAGTCCCTTAAAATGTATCATTTTGAAAATAGGGTTTCAACTAAATTTCCAAAAAGATTTGTAAATGGCCAATTTAATGGTCTTATTTCACGTGCCTCTTTCTCTGTAATGGCAGCCGCAGTGAGAACAGTCCGAATAGTTATTAATAATGCATGGTTCCCTCCCATTTCTACAGGCAACTCCTACCATTTACTACACCTAAAGAACTTTTCTTTAACTGGTAATCAGAAGTAACTGGTAAAAGAAGTCCAGCAGTCCTGACTATGGGAGTTTTCTGCTTGGGGAAAATGAATATTTAATCAAGAGTAAAAGAGAACATACACACTTTTCAATGACAACCTTTGTAATTTTTTTTAACCATTTAAACAAATTTTCCAATGGAAATGAGTATTCATAAGACCCTTAATTTAAAAATAATATAGACAAACACTTATACTCCCAGAGAGTATATGCAAAACTCTTCGACAATAAATGGACGGATACTACCTGCAAAAATACTAGGTTGTGACATTTCCGTCTACTACTGAGGCTACTTCTTATCCGGATCCATTTTGTGGAATACGAAATAAACAGAAATGGCAAAAAGAAAGCAAGGTTATTGATGTCTCTAAGCTCATACAAACATACCTGATTTTCAGAACAGCTTTATGCACATGAATATATTTCCCATCAATTCGAAATTTCAGATCGGCAGTTTCTGGACTATCGAATTCCTTCTTCAGTGACTCTGCAACTGTTAAAAAGTCTTCATGCTCTGAAGGCAATGAACACACTATTAATACAGAAAACTCAGGGAATAGATTCAAGATTTGAAAGACTTCAATTAGTATAGTGGATAATTTCATTTGTGTTTTTCAAGAGTTCATACCTTACTTAACAAATCAATTTTATAGTATTAAAATAAATTATCCTGCATCTATAAACTACCAAAAAATACAAGTATTTAGAAAGGCCAAATACCAGTCTTATATGCTTAGACATAAGAAATGTATGTTTTTAAAAAAAAAGTTATAGGTAGTCCATGATGATACAACCACTCTCTCAAAACGTGAGCAGTTCTCTTCTAAGACTAAAAATTTATCGATCCTCCTTGACTGAAACCCTAAGAATATCTTTTCTCTGCTTTGGGAGCGTTTCAGGTGGTCAGCATATCCAACTCAAGGAGGCCCAAAAAACAAACTTACTACTTAAGTGGTAATGCTAAGCAGTCATGTTCTTAAGCAGAGAAACTTTTTCCTAGGTTTCTGGAATCTAAACATCCCCCTTCACCCTAAAAAGCAATGTATAAACAATAATCTTTACACACTATCTAAAAACAGAGAAAATTTACCTGGCAACAACATACGTGCAAAGGGAACTATTTTACAAGAACATATGATCACCTTACCTGATAAGAATTATGTTATCATTACATGTATATAGAACTGTGTTATTATGAAGAAAAGCAAAGGCACTTATATAATTCCTGCAACACTTTCTTATGCTTTATACATATAAAAGAAGAAAAAAAATAGAAGAAGGCTAAGAGGGAAATCAAAAAATTCCAGAGACGCTCACTGGGCACTGAACCAAGCTGCTATGGACACAGGAGACAGGTTTCAACTGCCCCAGCTGAGAACGGTGACTTAATCAAAGAGCTCAGCTTCCAAGCCCTGGAAGAATCTGTGACGCTCAGTAGCCCGGTGTTACCAGGATAACTCCTAGATGAGGGGCAATGACTAAAACCTAGGCTGAAATTTAAGAAATAAGCTTATCCACAGCTTTATCATCAGTGTCTCCCAAGGAAATATCACCTGCCCAAGTCTTGTGACCTTAACCTACAGCCCTCCCTCAACCCCACACAAAGCAGAGCTCTCCTGGCTATGGAGGAAAAGGGGAAAAATCTCTAAAAAAAAACCAGGCTTTTAGCTGGGAGCAGTGGCTTGCACCTATAATCCCAGAACTTTGGGAGGCCAAAGTGGGAGGATCACTTGAGCCAGGAATTTGAGACCAGCCTGGGCAACACAGCAAGATCCCATCTTGACAAAAAAGTTAAAAATTAGCTGGGCATGGTAGTGCACACCTGTAGTCCCAGCCACTTGGGAGGCTGAGACAGGAGGATCACTTGAAGCCAGGCTGCAGTGAGCTACGATTGCCCACTGCACTCCAGCCTGGGGCAGGGGGTGCTTTCCCTGACCCTGTAACTTGGATCACTGGTGGATAAAAGAAAGGAAATGACAAAGATGGGCACAGAGTCCAGGAGGTTTGGACTGCTACCCAACCTATCCAAAAAAACAACTTCTCCTCACTGCCTCACCTTCTACAGCTAATCTTAAGGTTGAAATGAGATGACCCTTTTCCCCACTGTTTCTGGCAACAAGTGTAATACTCCTTTCAGAGAAGAAATATTCCTCAGAGGTGTAAATTCACCATCTGACTTTCTTCCTAACACTCAGCTAAGATCATAAACTAAGAAGAAAAAAACACTTCTGACATTTAGTGCGTGGAAGGGAAGGAAGTTATCTAGAAGATACATTCAATGGCCATAGTTCTTCAAAACTTAACATAAAAAAATGTTAGGACGTTTGTTCTGAAAAGGATGCCTGTGCCATTTTAAGATGCAAGACCCTGGAAAGCCTTTTATAAACAGATTCAGGTTAAGCAGTATATATAAATCTGAAGATGTGTACAGAATGCTTTGGCTGTGCATATTACACATATGTGCAATTATGGCCAAATAGTCCCATTCAATGAACTAAATTTTTATAAACATAATATTCACTGCAAAAAAAAAAAAGCCATTGTATTATAGCTAAAGAATTTGGCAAAATGAATTTAAAAGAAATGTTCAGTTTGTTTTACTTTAAGTTAAACAGCAGTTTTACTTTAAGTTAAATAGCAGTTTAACTCTTCCTAAACACACTCTTGCCCCCGTAACAACTGGTCACCTAATTATAGGGCAACTCCACCTGTCTAACACACCTGGGCATGACATGTATCAGAAGACAAACCTTCACTATCAATTGCTGAACAATCCAAATGCCTTAATTGTCAAGAATTCCATTAATTTTCAAGCACAAGGCATCATGACCCACTTATTTTCTACGTTTACAAACAGAGGCATTTAGAAGATATACGTTGGCAAAAAGGCATAAATGAAAAAGAATTAAAAGAAAAAGGTTAAAATTACCTTGTAAATGGCTACTCAACTTTAAGACATCTTAGCTTTTTCAACCAATAATAGACTCTTAAAGAAGATATTCAGAAAAAGTACAGATTATATAACTAAAGATCACCCTGAATTCCACTACCATTTATAATATCTCTGTTTTGATGTCCTTCCCAAATAAAAGAATTTGAAATCAGTTAAAAGACAGAGAGAAAGAAGGTGGGGTCTACTTGTCACCTTAAAAACCATAAGTTCTTCACTTCAAGTTCACTCTTGATTAGTATTATATTGAATTATGTAACAAATGTAGCATAACAAAAGCGCTTAAGAAAGGTTACCCAAATACTTATACATGAATGTCTATAATAGCATTATTCAAAATATTCAGCAGGTAGAAACAACTCAAGTGTTCATCAACAGATAAATGGACAAACAAAATGGGGTGTGTATACACACACACACACATGCAAACTGGAATATTATTCAGTCCTAAAAGGGAATAAAGTACTGACACGACAACACAGATGGGCCTCAGAAACACGAAGTACAAGAGGCCAGACACCGTAGGTCACACATTGCAGGCTTCCACTTGTATGAAATATCCAGCACAGGCAAATCCATAGGGAAAAAAAGCAGACTGGTTGTTGGTAAGGGCTAGGGGGAGGGGAGAAAGAGAGGACGTCTTAACGAGTATGGGGTTTTCTTTTGGGGTGATGAAAACATTTGGAACTTGATAAATGGTGGATTCACAGTATTGTGAGGGTACTAATGCCACTGAATTATATACTTTAAAATGGTTAATTTTATGTTATGTGAACTTGATATCAATTAAAATGAAAGCACTTAAGGAGAGAAAATAAGTCCGTGGGAATATTTCATAATATTTAATAAATCTGATTGTAAAAGTCTAATTTGGAGAAAAGTATAAATATTAAAGCTAATAGAGAATAAAACATTCTAGAACCTTAAAAAGCCCACAACCAGCAAATATGCAGGAAGAATGGTCAGTTGATGGTACTGTTCTTTCTGGGTGCTTTCTTACCCACAGACAGGAGGCGCCACGAGACAGCGGGAGTAGCAAAGCAGGCGAACACGTCGTCGGTGCAGGAGAAGTGGGTGAGATGGGGGAGGACCACCGACTGGCCCCGGCACTGGCCCCACATGTACACGTGCCCTCCCTGGGTCTTAGCAGCAGACGTATGGGCAGAGTGACAGGCTGCGATCTCCACTACCCTGAGAAGTTTTAAGAACAATGTATGTCACTTCACTATCACAGAAGCCCAGAGCACACTACACAAAACAATGAAAAAGTCCATGCTTGTTACACCTCAGAAAACAGCCCAAGATCCTGGAACATTAGCTGCCAAGTCACATCGACAAAACCAAAGATCAGGGCAAGAGCACTGTATTTCTCCCTAACTGCCCACTTTGCATCCTAAGCTCACACTGAGTTGGAATAAACAATACATACTGTTGCGGAAAACTTGGAAAATGGACTAGAAGTCAAAGTAAATGAGGAAAGTGGACAATTAAAAAAATGTACTGACAGTTCTGGGGGCTTATACAGTAGCAAAAAATACTGTCTTCAAGATACTATTTCCTCACAGAGACAACTTCTTCTGTCATCCCCTAAAGAACTCAGAACATGCATCAGGCTGGTAAGTACCAGTGGAGGGGTTACGGACTCTGAGCATTCCGACACAAAGGGACAGCAGGGCAGACTTCCTACACTTCTCAGGAGTATGCTTTGAGGCAGAGTCCCAGGACTGGAAGTCAATATCCCAAGACTTAGTGGGTAAGACCTCACAATTTGGCTGAGCAAACAGTAAGCATCTATTCCAGTAATACACATTACATCGAATCAATATTTAAACAGATAATGTCCCTTTTCAAGGGCGTATCTATTGAACAGTTATTTTAGTTGGCTCAAAGGAAAAATTCACACTACGTTTTGGATATCGACATGGTCACAGACCCTCTGTCTTCCCCACTAAATGGGCAACAACAAGCCTGCAGGAATTACACCAAGATGCGTTCATGCCTGTCAATCACAGGAGGTTATTTCAGAAAGCTGCTTAAGAATTATATCAACTTTATGTTCATTCTGGCTGGTACTCAACATTCTTTTGTTCAAAACAAGAATATTAATAAACAGAAGAGTCACGAAGCCAAACACCACAGCTCTGCCACACACAGTCCCAAGGGCACAAGGCACACACAGATCCAAGACACAGCACAGCCAAGTTACCTTTCTTTCTCCACCATGATGTGTGCTGGGCTTAGCAGGTTATTTTTATTGCCAGTTCCCAGCTGCCCGTATGTGTTAGCTCCCCAGGCATAGAGCAAGCCCTCATCTGTTAGTGCTAGAGTATGTGCATAGCCGCAGACAATCTGCAAGTAAATTTCAACGGTTACCATTAACAGGAAAACAGGAAGGGCAGGGAAAACATCTACTTAAAGGCTACAGCCAGCTTGTGCAGAATGCCAATTCATCATCAGGTGTGGACTGACATTTGCTAGAACATTAAAAAAGCATTAGAAAAGCCTAAACCTTAGACTGTTGAATTTTTCCATTAGTTTTTTCTTTTATTTCTTTTTGAACTTGTCAAGATTAATGTGCCTGCATCACGGTCTTCCTTCTCCTAGTAGGAATTTAGGGAAGATATAACACTAAATGTGGGAGATGAAGGCATAGGGTATTGCCAGAAAAGACTGACTGAAGAGTAAACCTCCAATATTTCTCCAAGCTGGAGCGGGGAAGGGAGAAGGGGGCCGGCTAGCTGAGAGGGCACCACACGTACCTGGTTCACACAAACACTGTGCAAGGCTGCCACTCTCACAGGGGTCAGCTGATTGCCGTTGTTTCCCAAGCCCAGCTGGCCGTTGCCATTGTAGCCCCAGCCATACACCTTAAGAGAGGAGAGAAAGGGAAAGAACGAGCTTTTAAAACTGTTAGTAGGAAGGAAGAGATAAAAATCCAGTCCACCCAAAAAAATCAGATACTTCCAACACCATATTCTACTCTGCGGGATCCTACAACTGATCTCCAAATAGAAGATATTTTGGGGGTGGCGATGACAGTTTGGCACCAGTTCCTATTCCATGACTCACTAGTTATTTAGCCTTTGGCACATCACTCTTTCCTGTTTTATACATGAGAAAGCTGAAGCTCGCTAACAATTATTAAGCACCTACTGGATGTCAGGACGCTGTGAAAGGTAACAGGAATAAGTTTTTGGTTACAGTTTAACAGGGGAGATCAACACATGCAAACATTTGCAGACAGGTAGCAAATGCTACCATAGAGACACAATCAAGGCACTACAGGAACAGCAAGGAAGGCTTTAGCTCTAGGAAGAAAGTTTAGGGAAGACTTTTCAGAAAGTGGACAACTGAGCAGGGTTGAAGGATGAACGAGGGCCAAGGCGTTCCAGGCAGAAGTCGCTGAATGTGCTGGAGGCCGGCTCAGAAGACAAGTAGGTGGGCCTGGCTGGTCACATCTGGGGTAGATGTAAGAGAAAAGACTTAGAAGGAACGCAAGGGCCAGGAGACAAAGTGACCAACACACACCAGGGAAAGGGAAATGTGACTAAATTTTCCACTGAAATATGTCAAAACAGATTAATTAAATTTGCATTTTGAAAGATCCCTCTGGCCACAACATGAGGGGTGACAGGAGCATACAAGACTAGAGGCAGGAAGACCATTTTGGAGGTAGTTTGGTCTCTCATCACAGTGAGCTCTGGAGTGGCAGTGGGGCCAAGAGAGGGGATGGAGAGGAAGGGGATGAGCAGGGACTTCCCAGAACGTGGTGAGCCCTAAATGTCTGGAGCAAGAGGGGTCCATCTGCTGAGAGTAACAGAGCTGGGTGCAGGTTTGACAGGACTGTTAAAGGTTTACAATAGCCAGTGGAAACAGGAAAAAGTATTGACCAGGAACAAATAATGGTCTAGCTCAAAGTAGAAACTCGAGATTTGTAGGGCACCAAGCCCCACAGCAACACAGGGGCTGTACCCAGGGGCTTTTCAGGGCAATGCCATGGAGGGGAAAGCGGGCGTGGACTTGAGGGTCCCAGTGAGAGATGGTTAAAGGCACTTTCATCCAATACCAGAAGTGTAACAGGTGGGAACTTCCTGGAGGGAAATTGGTAATAGCTATCAACGGGCATACACCTTGACCAAGAAATTCTATTTCCAGGAATTTATTCTACAGAAATAATTGCCTAAGTGTACAAAGATACACACACACAGAGTAACACAGAAAATCAGTGTAACATCGCTCATAACAGCAAAAACTTAGAAACAACTGAAATGTCCATCAGTAGAGCTCTGGATGTGGATCACCCATAGAGACGAAACTAAGCAGCCACCGGGACAAAAAGGTCTGTACAAACGGTCTGAAAACAGACACAGATAAATACATGCTGTCAAATGGGGAAGGGGGAAGCAAGCTGAGGAACAGCAGAGAAAAGCAGCAGTAGGTATAATCATGCCATTTAAAAAAAAATTATAAACATCCATATATAATTATCTACAGAAAAGAAGTCCAAAAGGATATGCATGAAACTATTAACAAGATATGGAAAAAGGTATTCACTTTTTATTTTATGTTTCACCTGTTGTCTTCCTTTGTTAAAATAAGCACATACTAATAATTTAAAAATTAAACTTATTTTTTAAAATAAAGGAGAAATGAAGAATACTGGAATGGAGGATATCTGATGCCTATCTCAAGGAATTCTAAAGTCATCCAGGATGATATCAGAATTGATAAAAAAAAATAAGTTAACATAGGTGAGCATTCAGTAAACTCTAAGGCACCCTAGGACCCCAATGCATGATGCCATAATGTCTGTGTCCAAAATCTGTATAATTTTCATGCACTAAACATGCACAGGTAGTAACTGGCCCATTTAAGTAGAAGTTGCAACCAGAGATAATTTCATAGAAATAACCATCAACTCAAAGGTGATCACAGTAGAGGATAACTGAAGGATAAGTTTTAAAAAGTAGCTAACAACAATCAGGACAAAAAAAAATCTGCTTTTGCAAATTGCTACCTCCTGTAAACAAACATTCAAGATGTAGGTGGGTAGTTCTACAAAGACTTTATCAGCTAACTTTTAAAAACTTGCACAGTTGACATTTTCATTGAAAGAGACATAGTATTATTATTTAATCCATTACATTAAACACCACAAGTACCTTTATGTATTAGGTTATTTGGATCTTGGCCAAAAATAAAATTTAGACACACTACAATCTATACTTGCAGACAAATCTTGGAATTTAAAGAAAGTCATCCTGAGGAGCAAACATCCTCCAGCTACTCCTCAGTCAACTCTCAATGGAGCTACCAAAACAAAGCACTCTTCCTTCCATGATCTGATACATGCACCTCATGAAGAAACTGACATTTAATTGAAAAAGGAGGTGGGGGGGGAGTGGGAATGGAGAGAGAGCTCACCTCACCATTGTCTAGAACGGCCATGGATGATGTCTGACCACAGGCAATGCCAACCACCCTCTTAATATGTAAACAGTTTGTAACTTTTCGAGGAGTTGGTTGATTTGCTGTAGAACCTGATCCCACCTGACCACAGTTGTTATACCCCCAAGCAAACACCTACAAAAGAAGGGAAAAAGAAAAAGAAATAAGATGAAAATTTGACCTCTAACACAATCATAAAATAAAAGTAAACCTACTTAATGAGTATTTACTATGTGCTAAAAGGTTCTAAATGCTTTACACACATTAACCTATTTAATCCTCTTAGTAATCCTGCAAGGTGACCCTGGCGTAGGTAACATTATCATCCCCATTATATACATGGCAACTGAAACACAGATAGGTTAAGTGACTTGATAGGGGCTCCATGGCTAGTAAGTAGTGCGAGTGGAATTTAAGCTCAAGCAGTCTCCCTATGCTCTTAACCACTATGCTATGCTGCCTCTATAACTATTGCAACTATACAGATGCACATAAATAATTGGGGTGGAAGGGTCTCACTATGTTGCCCAGGCTGGTCTCAAACTCCTGGGCTCAAGCAATCCTCTGGCCTCAGCCTCCCGGGTAGCTGGGACTGCAGGTACATGCCACTATAGGTACACACCACTGTGCCAGCCTTCTATATATTTCTCAATGTGCCATCAATAGGAAATGAGGTATATGCTACATAACTATCAATAATGTAAAAAATTTGGTCAACTCTTGGGGCACAAATATTCATTGTTTTTCATGGAAACCATTCTAAACAGGAATGTAAACAGAGAGAAGAATTAGGGAAGGGGTGTTGGCAGTAGAGGAAATAACTTCCTCTAACACCAGGAGAATTTCTAAGACCCCACCCCCCACCCCCCTTCACTTGCCTGCAGGAAGCAGTCCATGCACATCCTGAGTTTGGCCTCCATGATTCTTTCTTTCCTATGTCAGCACTTTCTATCTAAGTTCACATGTTGGATACTGCCCAAGGCAACAACAGCAAAACCCACTGCTGTCTTAAAGAGTATGTGCTATGCAGGTTCATTTCACAGATACAAAGAAATAACCTTAATACTTCCTCAAAATATACTCACAGGAATATCCAGTATAATAATGCAAATATTTAGCACAATTATCCAAAGTAACATATGCTTAAGGTTAAAAAAAAAAAGCAGGAATCAAGCCTGTACAAATTAGCAAATTTTGTCTAATTTCAACAATCATTCTCTGGCCATTCTCAAATATAGCAAGTTCCTTTGCAACGCTGCTGCCTTTCATTTAAAAACTGGAACTGTAGCTCCACTAACCAAGAGACGCACCAAGAAAGTGGATTCTAGGCACAAAGCCTGTGCGCCACGCCTGGCTCCAGCACATCCCAGCCGTGAAACCTGGAGCTTTTTAGCTTCTTCATCTGTAATTTGTCCTACTTAGTAAAATCACTATCACACCACTGAAGAACTTTAAACAGAGGAACAATATGATCTAATTTGTGGTTTAGAAATCATAGGGGGATAGAGATGTGATCAATTAAACAGGTAGATCAATTAAAAAGTTATGAACAGAAGAGACTATAGTAGTAGTCCAAGCAGAACACGACAAGACCTGAACAAAGGCGATGGAGATAGAGAGAGGACAAATGATAGAAGGGATTAGAAGGGAAATCAGCAGGATGAGTAACCTTTAAGGTGAGTACAGAACTTGGGGGCTGAACAGGTGGTATATTTTCTCCAACATCATTACATGGACTGAAAAACAAAATAGACCTTAAAGGATGGGGGTCATTAAAAAAAAATAAGTACAGAACACTGTTCCACAAATCTGATTTGCAATCTTAGCAGAGCATGAGACTCAGCTGCCTTAAGATCGAAGTCTGTCAGCAAGAGTGGTGCTGTTTACGTAATACAGATTATGTTAGAGAAAGAGTGTGTCCCCACAATGTTTTTAGCTACACACACAGGGCTACTATTTTCATATCATACCAAATACAAAAATGGTCATTATTTCTTTTTTTTTTTAAAAGCAAGGAACTTTCATGATAGCCAAAAGTAGAAGCAACCCAAGTGTCCATCGATGGATGAATAGATGAACAAAATGTGGTATATAGCAAGTCCTCAAATAACGCTGCTATAACATTAATGAGAAAAAAAAATTGATTCCTGGCCAGGGCCACTGTCTGTGTAGAGTTTGCACGTCCTCCCCACCTCTGTGTGTTTTCTCTGGGTGCTCCGGTTTCCTCCCACATGCCAAAGCTGTGTACAATAGGCTGTGTCTAAGCTGTGCATGTGTTTTAACAGTCCTGTGGATGCACCCTGCGACAGGACGGCATCCTGTCCAGCGCTTGTCCCCATCTTATACCCTGAGCTTCGGGCCACTCGTGACCCTAAAGTGAATGAGTGGGTTGGAAAATGAATAAATGAAAATACAAATTATTGTGAAATAAAAATTTATAAAGTAGATGATAATCATACAAATGCACGACGATAAACAATGCAGTTCAAAAGCACGCCGCAAGCTGTCATGTTTGTGATTGTTTTTGAACTGTGTGGTGGTAGGATGTACTACTCACAGTTCTTGACTTGCAAACATTTATTCCTTGATTTAACCCCACCACCACTATGACCACCCTCACTCACTGATTCCCCAAAAACTAGGTAAATAATTTTCTTGTTTTTATTAATATTTCTTTAATACATGTGTAGTTCACATTTACTTCAATGTTTAACATGAGACGTGGTTTGGGTCTTTATTTAGAAGTTTGGTGATGTTTTTGTGACTAGAAATACGTCATAAGAACTTAACTCTTAGGCCGGGGCGGTGGCTCACGCCTGTAATCCTAGCCCTCTGGGAGGCCGAGGTGGGTGGATCATTTGAGCTCAGGAGTTTGAGACCAGCCTGAGCAAGAGCAAGACCCCGTCTCTACTAAAAATAGAAAGAAATTAGCTGGACAACTAAAAACATATACCGGGCATAGTGGCGCATGCCTGTAGTCCCAGCTACTCGGGAGGCTGAGGCATTAGGATCGCTTGAGCCCAGGAGTTTGACATTGCTGCAAGCTAGGCTGACGCCACTGTACTCTAGCTTGGGCAACAGAGTAAGACCCTGTCTCAAAAAAAAAAAAGAAAAAGAAAAGAACTTAACTCCTGATTACATCAATTAGCCCATGACAAAACTGGTTTCATTACAAGTCGTTTCGTTTAAAGTCACAGTTTCCAAGAACCTGTCCATGACGGCAAGTGAGGACTTACTATATGCACACAATGGAATATTATTCAGCCTTAAGAGGAAGTAAATCCTGTCACATGCTACAACGTGGAAGAACCTTGAGGACATTGTGCTGAGTGAAATAAGTCAGTCGCAAAAGAACAAATACTGTATGATTCCACTTATATGAGGTACCTAGAGCAGTCAAACTTATAGAAACAAAGTAGAAAGGTGGCTGTCGGGTTTAGAGGGAGGAGAAAATGGAGAGTTTAATAGGCACAGAACTTCAGTCTCACAAGATGAAAAAAGTGCTGTGGGCGGGTAGTGGTGACAGTTGCACAATAATGTGAATGTACTTAATGCCAATGAACTATACACTTAAAAACAGTTAAGATGGTAAATTTTATGTGAATTTTACCACAATTTTAAAAACACAGAATAAAGAATAAAAGCAGTGTACTTACCTCTCCATCAGCTGCCAGAGCCATTGAATGATGTGAGCCACAGGCTACTTCAACCACTTGCTTAATCAAGAGATTGGTACACACCTGGATGGGAGCGATGCCTTGGTTGGTGGTCCCATTCCCAAGCTGGCTATATCCATTGTGGCCCCAGGCATAAACCACCCCATCTATACACAAAGAACACAAAGAATCAGCTCCAAGAAATGGTAAGCCCTGTACTTTGTTCCCCAGAACTTTGTTCAATTCATTCTCCAACCTTCATTTCTCTCACGTTGCCCCCTTATCTTTATTACGAAACCACTGATGGGGTAGGGAGAGAGGGATGGATGAGACAACAGGATAGATGGATACAAAACCCTTAAAGAAGGGACTTGGTACTAACATAGATGGAAGATCAGCTTCGTGGTTGGAAGTCAAAATTTATATAAACAAAAATTAGACTTTCTAAACACTTTGATTCATCTCAGCAGCTTGTGTGTCAGGTACCAAGCAAAAGAAAGAAGACGCAGAAAAGCTCAACACTAAGGTTTACCATCACTTTACCAAATACCAAGTCTCAGGGAAGCCCTGGGAGGTGTATGTGTCACTCACTCACAAAGTACAGACGAAAGATGTACACTGTTTGCAAGGGTAGCAAAAATCACAGAGCCTCTCTCAGGCAGACGATTTTAGTGGCATGAAATCTGGCTTTTTTTTTTTTTTACATAAAGCAACCATTTTATTATTATTCTGTATGTCAGGAATCTGGACAGAGGACAATGGAGATGGCTTGTCTTTGCTCCATGATATGTGTGATCTCAGGAAGATTCAAAGGCTGAGGATTACTCAATGGCTGGGCGCTGGCATCATCTGGAGGCATCTTCACTTCCGCTGTGTGGCTATCTTTGGAAAGTATAATCAGCTTCTTATAAAGGACACAACTCAGGAACAACCAAATGGAGGAGAGGCATACAGCAAGGTTAAGAGGTGGGCTGCGCAGAGCTTCCATGCCCTCCCTGGCCACAGCACCTTGACATGTTCACCAACCTGGAATCTCCTCTGTCTGCATTTTTTTTAAGAGACAGGGTCTCTCTGTTAGCCAGGCTGGAGTGCAGTTGACGCGATCATAGCTCACTGCAGCCTTGAACTCCTAAGCTCAGGCAATCCTCCTGCCTCAGCCTCCCAAATAGTTGGGGCTACAGGCACAGGCCACCACACAGACTAATTCTTCCCTTCCTCCCTTCCTTCCTTCCTCCCTCCCTCCTTTTTTTTTTTTTTTATGTAGAGATGGGGTCTCGGTATGTTGCCTAGGCTGGTCTCGAACTCCTGGGCTCAAACGATCCTCCTCCCGCCTGGGCCTCCCAAAGTGCTGGGATTACAGGCGTGAGCCACCACGCCCAGCTCTGTCGGAATTATTTTAAAATGACTACTTTTCTGTTTTGTGTCCTCACTGGAAGTATCAGTATCGTCGTTTTGTGGATTTCTTTCCATAGCATGTCTGTGGATCAAGGGCAGGTCTCCCAAGTTATGTATCCTTCTCTTGTTTCCCATGGTAATAAAACATCCCAACCTATTAAGGACGATCTACCCAGCAACAATATCCGAGAGCAACAGCAGAAATCCAAGTGTTATAGTGAGGCTTCTGGTCACTAACCATATTCCCCAAGCAACCAGGGGGAACAGACTTCTAGTTATCTACTCTAAAATGGTGACAGCTGCACAAACTTAGAGTCCTCTTCCAGACTCAAGGCTGATCTAGAGAACTTCTGACATTTGGCTCACAAGAGGTGTTTCCTATTACAGAAATCATGACAGAAACCATAAGTGGGAAGTTTCATCCTAAGAAAAATGAGGCTGAAGACTGAGAGTATAAAACTTAAAAAATATGATCCACAATATTATGTTAGAGTTATATTAACATTAGGTGAAAGAAATGTCCAAACCTATGAATGTTTTATCTCCTAAAAACAGAAAAATAGACTTGAGTAGAGAAATATATACTTTGTTT